TAAAAAGTATTGAAAGTATCGAAAATAAATGTTACTAGTACATAAATGCATGACAAGTTAAACAGTTTCTATGTAGAGAAAAAATTAGAGGTATGTATAACCCGAATTATTTTCATTATCGTTGCCCTCTCCCCTCTTTTTGGTGGACTGTGAGAGGAAAGGCTCCTGAAGTGTGGATCGATAGTCCCCCCCCCTTTCCCCTCCCACTTTAGTTTTAATACACGTGTATTTTTATTATACCGTACAAGGCCGTTCTCTAAACGTACATGTAAGAAAAAGTAAAATCTGCTTGCATAGAACGACAAATAGATGTGATTGACGGGGAAATTTTTATATATTTGAGAAATTAGAAGCTCTCATTTTTTTTAATTAAAAAAAAGGGGGGGCTATCGATCCACACTTCAGGCGCCTGTGGTCAACCATAGGGTTAGAGTTTAGAGTACAAGTGGTCTCGTAAAATATATACCCCGGTAGGTCTTCCCCATACGAGCAAGACAGAGAAGGTACAAAGAGGTAACCTACATTGCTATGATGACATCAAAGTGTTATACAGTAATTTGTGTCATGTATTTTTATGCACACGTATCGAAGATTCGGGGGCATATGCCGACAGTTTTTGCCCTGTCCGCCCCTCTGTCTGTCTGTCTGTTTGTCCGCAAAAACTTTAACATTGCCCATAACTTATGATTGGTTGGAGCTACGGCTTTCATATTTCACATGTGTATTCCTTGTGACAAGACCTTTCTTTGGATATAATCATATTTGACCTTTTGATCTTGACCTTGGAGTTTGACCCAGTTTTGCAAAATTTTACCGAACTTTAACCTTACCCATAACTTTTGAGCAATTGGTTATAGGGCTTTCATGCTTCAAATGCGTATTCCTTGTGACAAGACCTTCCTTAGGATACCAACAACTTTGACCTTGACCTTGGAGTTTGACCTAATTTTGGAAAACTTTAACGTTGGCCATAACTTTTGAACAGTTGATGCTAGGGCTTTCATATTTAAAATGTCCATTCCTTGTGACAAGACTTTACTTTCCTTTTGACACCAACAATTGTAATCCATTGACATTGACCTTGGAGTTTGACCTACTTTTGAAAAGTGTGAACATTGGCCATAACCTTTGAACGATTGATGCTACGACTTTCATATTTCACATGTGTATTTCTTGTGAGAAGACCTTTCCTTGGGCACCATAAATTTTGACCATTTGACCTTGACCTTGATGTTTGACTAACTTTTGAAAAACTTTAACCTTTTCCATATCTATTCAATGGTTGCTGCTAGGGCTTTCATATTTCACAGGTGTATTCTTCGAGACAAGACCTTACTTTGGATTCCAACATATTTGATTTGCATTTGAGAAAGTTTAACTTTTGCTATAAATTGCCATACGGGGGCATCAGTATTTCACAAACACATCTTGTTCTTTTAAAATTTAATATGATGACAATTTAATGCATTCTCAAACATTACTGAGATTTATGTACACGCTCTTCTATCTTAAAATTTCTCGTACTTAAAAATGTTGGATTAATGCACACGGGTATATGAGGGTTTATTTTTCCTTATTTATAATTCATGTATTTTTCACAAAAGTATGAAAGAATTGTTTTAGACATTTGATAGTATGACAAAGTGAGTTCGCTGATGTTTAGCAGTTACTAAAATGTCGTATACCAACAAAAAAAGCAAGAAAATATGCTTTAACAGCATTTAGTATTATAAAGACCGAGTTTACAAACATTAGTATGCACCTGCAAGAATCTTTGGATGTTATTTATTATACTTTAAATTTTTACATTCCAACATTTTTGCCTTCTTCTTTAAACTGTAAGTAAATGAATATGCATAGAAAAATTAATTTCGAGTAGCTTAATACGGATCAAGTAGAAAATTATTAATACGAGTGATAAGAAGGTAAACAATTGTATATGTGTCAATAAATGATCACATTTTTTATTTCACTTGTCATAAATCACGAGGTATACATACAAATTTTCCAATCAATGCTTAATCAATATTGCATTGCTTTAAAAATTGTAGGGAGAATGTCCTAGAAAGTATTAATATATATATATATATACAATTAACAGATTTTCTATGATGAATAATCAAAGAACTCTTTTTTCTGTTTTTCTGAAGGTAAAGATCCTTTCGAATAGAATTGCTAGAAAAAATGAATGTACATTTTCGTTAAATATTAAAATACGACAAATCGGGTATTATTATTTTCCATCAATTAGAGAGAATTAAAATATTACTTTATTACACGTGAGCAAGGGTTCTCAGAAAATAGGGATGGGATTTTTTTGTACAGAATAAGAACTCTCCTCCACCTATGAAAAAAATACTGAATTCATCACTAAAAAATCGAGTCTACTTTTGTGCAAGTAATTTGTTGAAAGATGGAAAAAAGGTTACTTGCATGAGCTATTTTTAAGAACTTTGCCCATAATAAACCTCCTGAACGTACATGTATATAGACATGTACAGTCGTTAAAGACAGCATTTTAAATTTGTTAGAGTAACTTTACACCTTGTTTCGATTTATCATTTGTTCTTAGAGGTTTAAATCAAGTTGTTATATTGAAATATAGATATTTACTCGATCGTCTTTAGATCAGGAAGTAAGATCTCCATTTTGGCAATGAAAATCTTCAGGGACGATATACCATAAATTATTCTGTGAGTAAAATTACAGTTATTTAAGGGTGTGAACTATGGCTTTTGTGTTGGGACAAAACCGAGTAGGAATAGCACAGAATGATAATCCCACCACAATTCCAAATCACCCACTGGCACGACTGATGTTCTATTTTGATTGTATTTGCACTGTTCTCGAAATTGCAGATGAATCCAACGCAAAACTGCGAGACTACCTTCGTTATTTTCTCCTTACAGAGACTGATGTAGATAAACTGTTGTATTTATGTTGGCTCTTTTCTCCGGATGAATTGAACAATAAATGCATTTTCCATGATGAGAACATGTGTGGAGAATATGAAAATGGATTTTTTGAACTGAGCCAGGTTACACAGCGTTTAATGTTTATAGACTCTTTGGTGATTGGGGACCAGCAAAGACAGGTCAAAAAGGTCATGGTATTCAAGGCAATTTTTCTACTAAAGAACTACTACCTTCCCATGGAAATATATAAAGAGCGTCTGGAAATTTTACTCTTGGCCATGAATATCATTTTACAGGAAAGAAGAAGAATTGAGGGAATAGAAGATGCTAGTGAGAGCAGTGTCAGAAATACGTCCTCGTCTTCTTCTTCCTCTTGTTGTACTATACTGTAGCTGCTGCTTCAAAAGGTTTATATCGCACAGAACTTGGTTTAATCAGTGGCTTACAATTGTTTCTAAGTATTCAATTATTATACTGAATGTTATCTTTGTTCAAGAACAGAACTGAATGTATGTTTTTTTACATTTCAATAAAAAAGATAAAATTGTATATATCCGAAGAAATTTCCATTTAAAAAAAGTTATCTCTTGTATATACAAGGGATATACTGCTATGCCATTGAGAGGCTCTGGTTCTATACATGAAAAAACGAGGTGCTGTCATAAGACAGTAATTCCCGCACGTATGTGTTTGCCTCTAAATGTACACTAACTCCCTTGTACCTTGGTAGCGAAGAAACCACAAATAATCCTATAATTTACATAATGTATGTATATATGTATTAAACTGAGCATAAAATGAGCAGGTGAGCATATGACCCATGGGCCTCTTATGTTAGTATTTAAAATAATAAAATCGACTAAAATTGGAACTTGAAAAATCATTTTTTTTTTTTTTACCCTCATTTGGCACCAAGGGTGAAAATAAAAATTCTGAAACCTTATTGCAGGACACCTCCAATCACCTTACAAAAATAAAATGTCTACGACGTAAAATGTTTGAGGAGTTCTTGGTACAAGGTTTTTGTAAAATGAAAATCATTGTTTTCCGACTCTATTTGGCCCCAAGAGTGAAAATGAAAATTCCAAAACCTTATTGTACATCTGCAGATCACTAAAACCATCTTACAAAAGATGAAATTGCTACTGCATAAAATGTATGGGAAGTTTCAGGAACCAAAAACGTTTTTAACTCCCATTTGGCCCCTAGGGTAAAAATGAAAATTCCAAACCCTTATATTACACATCACAGAACACCCTCAATCATCTTGCAAAAGATAAGATGGATACTGTGTAAAATGCTTCACAATTCAGGATGTTGTAAGATAAAAAACGTGGTTTATCGACACCCATTTGACGCCAAGGGTGAAAATGAAAATTCTGAAACACCAGCTACAGGACACCACCTATCATATTCCAAAAGATGAATTGGTTACTGCTTAAATTGTAAGAGAAGTTCGAGGAAGAAGAAAGTGTGGCAGACGGACCAGGATAACAACAATATACCCGAAATTTCTTTAGAAAGTGAGGGTATAAAAATTCCATCCTACATTTTAAAGAATTTTAGAGGTTCTTCCATATATCACAAAAGAAGAATACGACTAAACCCTTTAAGTTTCATGTTAGTGTGGGTATGTGTAGAAAAATAAGCACTCCAGTAAACATTTACACTTACAATAATTTATTCTTGTAGTAGACTTAAATCCATATCTCTGCAAAATCAACCTTGCAATTATTAAAGATTGATATACTAGGTCTTTTATGATGTGATATCCTAGGCCTCTGGGTTTACGAAACTGTTGTTTGGTGATAAAGATTCGTAGTCTTTGATTGTTGCAGACCTAATACACCATCTTAGTTGCATCATAACCAACAGAATAAAAGGAAAACGGATTTCATTATTAATTTATTAATGAGCAAGTAAAAACAAAAGTAGAAAATAAATTCATTAAAAAAAATAACAAACAGTTTATGAGTATAATATTTACATAATGTGTGACACAAAGCAACGTTAACTGTCTCTCAAACTCGAATACCCACACTTTTACAAGAAACAAGTTATGATTATGATGACAGTGTTAACAGATCAGTTACTTTTCAGGATGTGCACTTTGCCTTGAGAGCAACCAACCATCAGATCTCCATTGCAGCCCCTCACAATATCGGTGGGAGGATACCGTCTATTTCTGTAGAGGGTACCCAGAAACTTACCCTCAGTGTCTATCAGCTGCACGGAATATGAATGGGCTTCACTCACCACAACATTACTTTTGTCATCAAAACAAAGTCCAACAGGACAAAACTTTGTGGTCTTTTCGTCCATATTTGATTCATTACCGCGATACCGGAACTTCAGTCGACCATACTTATCGAGAAGGATAATCTCACCTTCCTTTTCACTTTTCATGTTGCAGACGGCAATGTCTCCATTTGTTCCAACTTGGATTTTCCATGGGACAGTAAAAAGAGGCACGCCAAGGGACTCGAACTGTATTTCAACTGTCTTTTCACCAGATTGTGTGTATTTGAAAACAACCCTACGTCCTGTTGAGGTGGCGAAAGCATCTTCGTCAGAAATGGAACCATCGATAGCCCCAACGAGAATTTCTCCTGTTGACCATGAAGTGCAAACAGATATTGGTTTTAAAGGAGCCAAGTTAATCAAGTCAATAACGGATCCACTTTTCGTGCATTTCTTGATCGTCCGGTCGCCCTTGCAACAGACGAGAAGTTCCTCTTCGCGGGTAACGCATATTCCTGCTATTTGCCATTCGGGATCAACGTCAATTGAGTGCAAAGTCTCTCCTAGAACATTGGTCTGATATATCTTCTTGGCAGTATTCGAAAAAATCCACAATCTGTCTACGTTCCTATTCTGCATTTTAACTTGTATCTGAAAGAATAACGTTTCCTTTCTAACGACAGCAACAACGAAAGCTATTCAAATCAATCTGTTTAAAAAAAAAAGTTTAAAAATAAATACAATTGAAAAAGGTCCTCTAGATTTCAGTACTCACTTTCAATTGTTCGGAAGGTATCGCTGTATTAAAACTACCTGTTGTCACCAATCTGCTTGTACCACCTGGAACGAGAGGTTTTATAGTAGATGGCGATGGTGACGTAATCGCGTTACGTCGCTTAAAAGCAGAAAGGCATGCTTGGCATCTGCTGTTCACAAAGTTTCTCGTGTTAAGTTAAACAAATATTGTCCTCGCGGTGTCAGCTTCGCGATCTCATTCATAATCAGGGCGACAGATAACCGTGTTTATCCGCGACATCAGCGTCGGTGTGGGGATGAAGATCTGTACCACCGTGCATGTACACTCAGAGATAATTTACCTAGTACTATGGAATGTTTAAACACATCATGTAATCTTGATAATGAGAACAACAGACTTGAGATTTGGACCACGTTGATTGTAAATATGATCACGTGCAATTAAAACGCAGTAAAACTTATGAAATTGAAATAAATTTAATAATGAATTAATGTACTGAGTATTCAGCGAGTAATATCTTAATTTATTGAGTAAATTGGGGTTTTTTTTAAAATAATAAAAAGTTTTTTCAGTTGTGTTGTACGGGAAATAACCGTTGCCACACTGCTAAAAAAAAAAATAGTCACGTAACCCGCGAAATCGGGTTACGTAATTTTTTCATGCTATAATACATTTGTAATTGCAGCCGTTACTAGTATAGAAAATTAAAAAGTAGGACAATTTATTATTTATATTTTATATCTGTCTTTAAATGATTCATATTAAGTAGGTGGAAATGCATAAAATAATATATTATATAGATGGAGGAGCTATGAAACAGCTGACCTTTAGCACTTCTATATTTGGAGTTACAGATGGCTTAAACAAACCGTTAATCTAACTAATTTAGAAGTAAATTGTTTTTTGCTTCAGAAAGTTTCTATAGCAATGACAGATAACAGCAATACGCTTTTCAAAAAAATATTCAGTTTATATACCAGTATATCTACAATAGCTCATGTAACAAACAATTAGAGGAATATACACTAAAGAAACTTTTAAAAAATTTCAGAATTGTGCTAAAGAAATTTATAGAAATATACTTTATATTTAAAAAACAAAACGGAAAATTGTATTTGGACGAATATCAAAAATATTAATCAAAGGTAAAATTCACTTGATAACATACAAGAGAAATGATATGGTATGCCAATACTATTCCATGTTTTATTGGTACATGTACATAATTATGTACTGGGGTCATAAAAGGGCTGTAATCTGAACTTTGGCTGAATCTGCACCCAGTGACTTTATCCACCATCCAGTTTGATACCGGTTAAGTGTGATCTGAACTAGATAAGGTCAAGTAAGCGTAAATCTGAACACCTAAATAGGTAAACAAGACTTATATATACATTATTTTAACTCATGAGCTTATGAAATGTGAAAATAACGAATAGTGACCCTGCTCAAAGGTCCATTTAAACAATACGAATTGTGAGTAATTGTGAGTCAACACGGACCTCAGAAGTGGGATCAGGTGTCATGGAGGAGTAAACATCCCCTGTCGACCATTAATCCTGTTTTCCTTGTCAGGATTGGGTAAACGGAAAATTTGTAGACAATTTAGTGTGAAGATAATGCCCTAACAATTTGTATGAAAGACGTCAGTCAACATTAGACATAACGAGAGATTACATGGGTGTATTTGCAAACAAAGTCAATGTATCGACCATAGAATTTGCGAAATGTTGGCTTTAAACGACATTGTTGATATCCTTGTATCATCAACTTATTTGTCAATGGCCTCCCTCGTTTTAGAAATTGTTCGTATATAGAAAATGCTCTTGTGTATGGAATCAACTATGGGACATTAACTCCTTACGCAGGTGATATGCTATATTGCTACATAAATAAGAGAAGGTAACGATAGAAAAGGTGCATGAAGTCATCACGTTTATCATAACGTTTCGTTGTTAGTTTGCAATCAATGCATTTCTCTAGAAAAAATAACTAAATATGAAGTGTGTCAAACTCTGAGTTTTCTTTTATTTCGAGCTCATTGGGATATATAATAATTCAAATCAATGTAAGAGTGAACATGAATATTGTTAATTGATAAAACGCCGTCGATATATATAATTGAAGGCCACAGCAAGATTGTTTTTTTTTTTCAAAATAAGTTTGCAGATATTATTTTTAGCTCACCTCGACGAAGTAGAGATGAGCTTATGCTATACCCACGGCGTCGGTGACGGCGTCCCGGTTAAAGTTTTAGGAGCAAGTCCATTCCAAAGTAACTATTAGCCCTACCTGGACCAAACTTGCATGGATGATGCATCTAGGGATGGACACTACTACTCTTGCTTCGGATGCTGGATCTGACCTACATTTTCCAGTTGAGTGACCACGTTAAAGTTTTTGAAGCAGGTCCATTCCCAATTAACTATAAGCCCTACTTGACCAAACTTGCACGGATGATGCATCTAGGGATGGACACTACCACACTTGCTGCTGGATCTGACCTAGATATTCCAGATGAGTGACCAGTTTAAAGTATTTGGAGCAGGTCCATTCCCAAGTAACTATAAGCCCTACCTTGACCGAACTTGTATGGATGATGCATCTTGGGATGTACGCTAATCAACCTGCTTCGGATGCTGGATTTGACCTAGATTTTCCACATGAGTGAATTTTAGCCATATTTTAACCAAATTACCATGGATGATGTAGCTAGGGATGGTCACTTCCAGACTTGCTTTGGATTCTGAATCCGACCTACATTTTCCAGATGAGTGATCAGAATAATTTTTTTGGAGTTTGGAGTAGCTATATAACATTATGGCCTGTCATGATTAAACTTGCATGGATGGTGCATCTAAGGATGAAAACTTCCAGACTTACTTTGGATGTTGGAACTGACCAAAATTTTCTTGATTAGTAAACAGGATAAATGTTTTTTGAACAGGTCTATTTACAAGTAACTATAAGTCGTACTTAAACCAAACTTGCATGAATATTGATCTTGGGATGTACACTAACTAAAAAAAGAATATGATGTGAAATTTGCCTTACTTGAAGATAACATTCGTCGAGGTAAGCTTCGTAATCTTTGATTACCTATGTTTTATGTTTGCTTATGCTATTTTCCAGTGCAGGTTTAACGATTTGAAAAAGGTCCATTCCCAAGTTACTACAAGACATGCCTGGAAAAACAATAGAGGGATACGCAATATCAATCTTCCATTATTTTAATCCTATTACGGTACTTTAGGCAAGTTTTTTTTTTTTTAATATCAATAAAAGGATTTACATGCCCTCAATATCAGCATGGCCATACCGGTTCTTTTTTACATTGTGAGTGACCAAATTATTTTTTTTGGATCAGAACCAGTCCTTATTTGTAAGCCTCACTTGAACTAACACAATCCATATTAATCAGTCTTCCCTTGAAATTATTACACGTACATGTAACAACAAAAGCTTAGGCATCCATTTTTTCACTATCAAGTCTAAAGATACAATGTACCACTTCCTCCATAAAATGTCTTGGTTATAGGGACTGGAAGTTTTGATCTAGATGTTTTACAATGCATGACTATATACTGAAGATTGTGACGGTACAAAATGATATTGTCGTTCTGTACATATTGTCGTCGGTGATAATATGTACCCATCCCACTGCACATATTGTCGTCCATCGGTACATATTGTCACCGGCTGAAAAATTACACATGTACATATTGTCGCCGGCGACATTATGTGCCTAACCTCACTGCACATATTGTCGCCCCACAGTTAGAGTTTTTATGTTGTAGTTTTGTGAATGTAATTTGTGTGTAAATCACACAGAGATGTCTCTTAGGCTATTACATGCAGCGCCATTGTGACGGTACATATTGTCGCCGGTGACATTGTGTACCTCCCAGAACTGCACATATTGTCGTCCGTCGGCATATATTGTCGTACGCTGTACATATTGTCGCCGGCCACAAGATTTGCATACATTTACTGCACATATTGGGATAATGATGAAGCTAGGCTGCACAAACGCAACATACATGGACAGATATCTTTAATTTGAAATATTTATTCGAATTGTATCCACTCTAAAAAAAAAATTCAATGATATCGAGTGGACTTAGAGTTTTAACCATTTTCATATAACTTCTATAGCAGGTTTATTAAACAAGAGGTTCATGGGCCACAACGCTCACATGAGACACTAGTTCTGGCCCTGTTGTTTTGTATAAGATTCTTCCCCAATATATATGTATTCTTTTGTAAAATTTTGATCGCCTTTTGTGACTCCACCCTAAACACTGGGGCCATGATTTGAACAAGAAATGAATATACTTTTCCAGAGGAAGCCTTCACTTTAACATGATTCATTATGGCTTAAAAAGCTTTGTTGTTCTTAAGAAGAGGAGTTTTAAAAATATTTCCCATGTAATCCCTACTGTGGCCCGCCCTACCCCTGAGGACCATGATCTGAACAATTTACAACCTAGACTAAGTAAGTAAGCTTCCTAAGTTTCTTTCTTTCTTTTTTATATATTTCAATGTAAAATTTTGATTCCCTATGATGGCCCCACCCTACCCCCGTGGACTACGATCTGAACATTTTAGAAATAACATTAGAATCAACACTACTTCAGAAAGCATTCACCAAAATGTCATCTTATCTGGTCCAGTGGATCTTGAGAAGATTTTTTTTTATAACACAGCCCTATTTTTGCCTTTTCTTGATCATCTTCCCTTGGAAGGGGCCTTGTACATGTACAGTATTGCAAGTCAACTGTCTGTCTGTCTAGCTCCCTTCGTGTGTGTGTGTGTTTTTCAATCTCTCTTCATTACCCCAGTAAATATTTGTCAAAACAAAAATCGACAATATGCCGATGCTTGACTACATTTTGTCGTCCATTATGTAGGAGGAAAATAAGGCTCGTCGGTGACAATATGTACCAATGGATGACAATATGAGCAGTGAGGGTTGGTACATGTACATACTGTCACCAATGACAATATGTACCGTAACAAGGATTTCTAAATACATGTATATGCAAAGAATTTATCCTCCAATTTCGTGAGAAGCAGCACTCACAAAATATATGCTTATATTGCTGAAACAAATGTAAAATTAAATCATTTGATCAACAGTCCTTTCGCGATTTCGTTTTCAAATCAATTCGCAATATTATGTACAAGCGTAAAATAAGAAAACTATTTAGTTACAATAAAAGGTAATAAAGAATCCATCTGACTTCATGTATACTTCTATAGCACAAGGGACATGCAAAATATCCTCATCAAACACTACTAGCTATGAGACCTAAATATTAACATGAAGCAATATATATATAATAAAATTTACTTTTTAACAACAGTTTTTATTGATTGTATAGTGCCAAAAATAATCAACAATAAAAACAATTTAAGATCACTCTGTTAACTAGACAGTGTATGATCTAACAACAAATAAAACTAAATTCAACATAGTACTCACACTAGCAAGTATAACAGAAAAAATAGGAATATACAACACAATTATCATTCTTGAGACAAGCATATAATTCTCACTTTTCAATAATTTCAAGATTTCCATAGCAAAACTTTTTAAAGAAAAATTACAACACACAACAACACTACAACAGTGATAAAGTTAAATTTTTTCTGAATCATCATTATAGTACAAGTATTACCAGTTCAAATATTTCATATCATATGCAATTAAATATTGAAACTTCTTGTAAACAAGGGGGAAAAATGAAGAAGTAAAGGCAGTATGACCAAATTGAAAAGCGTTTACAAGTCAATATAGAGAAACCTTGATTGTTATGATCAGTCCTAAACACAAGGAATGGAGTCAGATACATGCCCCTTAAAATCATTTACCAACACAAGGTATAAAGTCAAAGTCATTTACCTATACAAGGTTTATAGTCAGAGCCATTTACTAATGCACGAATTAAAGTCAGTAAGCTAACACTTTGCTATTCCTAAATTATTCATATATATAACTTTATGGAAGTTAATTGACAAGTTATGCTCTTCATTTGGGCAGATTATTTTATATGGGCAAATTCTGCTTTATTTGGGTGGTGAAACTGTTTTTTAGTTGGACATATTTTTTTTTAAAGGGCAAAAAAAAGTGAAGATATAGTGTAAAAACTAAAGAAATAGAATAAGATCTATTTCATTGTTAATTTTTTTTTAAAATATGTAATGTACATGAAATATGTCACAAAAGTCTAACAATACTACTGGAAAAATACATAAGTAAGCACACTCAAAATTTAGTGCAATTTTTCTCAGCAACTGATTAGCATAATAAATTAGTTTATTAGGGGCCACATATATACATGTATTTGATTTAGTACTACAATTTGACGACTATTGTTATTTATATTCTTCAAATATATAAAGTACATGAATTACATGAGAAAGAAAACAGAATAAAAGACTGTGTAGTGATAATCTACTCTAAACTAAAATTTATTTTATATCAATCTTTTTTTTAAAACCATATTTCTTTATGTCAGCTTGATGTCATTCATTTGATCATTCATTTGATCATTCATAAGCAACTCATTGCTAAGGGTGAACATTACTCTTGAAAAATTATTAGTACTTTCGATTAATTGATACGTTTTCAGATGTAAAATAAAGCAAGAACATTAGTCTATATGCTTCATGGAGTTATATTATTATCTGCAAAACAATTCATAATTTTTGTCCTTCTTTGCCAATAGATGACCTATACCAAAATTGGTTCAGCAGTTTATGAGGAGAATTAAGCCAAAAATGTTCAAATGTTAATGCATAATGGACAATGACAGATGAAAACAGATAGCAGTAGATCACCTGAGTGACTCAGGTGACCTAAAATGTTGCACAAATGAAAGAAATGACTTTTGAAAAATCTGCCCAAATGAAATGCACCCCTCATATACCAATTTCAAGGTCACAACTAAAGGCATTGGTAACCCTCAGTGGCATTATTGAAATTGATGAGGAAGGAAAATTCCATCTTCAATTTCTAGCGTTGTGCCCAAGATCAACTCTCTTGGTGGTCTTCTTCGAAAAATCTTTGGGCTATTTACCTACATGTACTTGCATTGCAAAAAGGCCATGATAAGACAAGCTCATCTTCACAAGAAATAACAGTTTTTTTTTCATTTAAAAATCAAAGTATAAAGGTCAAGGCCAAAATTAATCTCAATGGGAATATTTGAAACATCTTGAGTTTGTAGATCAAACTATGAATATGTCACACATGACAAAGCTAAATGAAACTGTTGTTGAAGATGCCTATGGGGGGCAGATGAACAAAAATCACATTAAATCCATAGACCAAAAATCCACTGGACTTTGCTTTACAATCTGGCAAATAAATCAAAAATTTAAGAAATGATTCAAATTTTCATAAATTCTGAAAATATCTACATTCAATATTCAGGAGTTTGTCTCTGTTGTCTTGTTTTAATGATAGTACAGGCTCTGATCAAACCATGATGGCCTTAGAAACATCACTTGCTTTCTTTTTACTTCTAGGATAGTCTTCATCAACTGTCACATCTTGACTGTCAGCTATCTCAAATTCAGAATTCTGAAAATATTTGTTAAGTTTGTCAAAACAAAATTTGGCAGACAGTTTAAAGAAAACATCAGCAGTCTTTCTAGTAACTTTTGCAGTTCGTAATCATTGCCAAAAATACCCAAATCTTGATATATTTAGAATATTAAGATATTACTCCATTTTTAGAACTTGCATAATCACAAAGTCCAATTCTTTTCCTAGTTCCAAATCAAGCCATACATGTGATATGTACCGGCTGTACGCAAAATGTAGTTTTTCGAGCCCATTCATCGTGTACCGGCGGGACACCAAAATTCACGGAATATGAAAATTTGTACAGTATTTTGAATTTCTCGCTAAATGCCGCCATTTTCCTCTCATTCTCGCTCGCGAGACACTGGAAAACGTCACCTGTGTTTGACCCTTGACCTTCTGATAATTGTGTAGTGTACACAAACCATCGCGTGCGAAGTGTGAACTGCCAATTGGGATAATTACATGTAGCTTGCTATAAATCCGTATCAAATACCCCTTCAGGTAGCTTTATTTTTTAAGGGGTACTTAATTACTGTTAATGTTTCGTATACGTAACTTGATTGAAAAAAATTAAGCCAACTTCTAAAGTTGATATACATGTACATGACTTAATATACGTGAATCTGACCCAGATCTTCGTAGGTATAAAATATACGATGTTTATTACAATGATTACGATGAAATTTCAGAAGAATTTAAGCGATATTTTATACCGTTTTTTGTACCGTTTTTTGATGGGCAGTGTACAGTTTTTTTCACCCAAATTCCAGTTTTTTTATGGCTCCTGTACAGTTTTGTGGTCTTTGACTTATCACATGTATGTCAAGCATACTGCTAAATAATTTTGCCATGCAATGCTAATAATTTCTTTTAACAATTATATTTTCTAAGAATCTAAAACATAAATCATTAACAGCAAATTCTAAATTCATTTTGGTTCATTAACACAGAGAAAGTGAAAAGTACCGGATATTTATAGAAAAGATAATTCACTAAAACTTCAACATACCTCATATATCTTTGAGCAAGCTCTTTTCTTGCCTTTCCTCTGAATCTGCTGAGAGTCTTTACCATCATCAGGTTTCTTTTGCAGAAGACGAGGACTTTGTCTGACCTACATTTTTCAATGCATCAGAATATAAATCATGTTCTATACATGTGTTTTTTGATCATATCAGAGAATTACCTCGGCAAACAATTATTAAAGTAAGAATCTATTTCATGAAGAACGATTTCATTTGAAATGCCAACTCTTAATTTAGTTAACACTGCTGCTGATTAACCATACTTCTGCTTTTATCATTACACCTAAAGCTTCATATTGAAGTGCAAATTTTGCAATTATTTTGATTTTTATGCTTCAAAAATTTTCACACAAAATGCTGTTCTTTTCTCATTAGTAATTTTTAATTTCTGGAGATGGTCTAACGAGTCTTCTGGCTTTTAATTCCAAAAATTTACACTTCAGTGAAAACATAAATACATGTATACATGTGTTACCTCTGAAATAGGTCCCAGTTTCTTTTTCCTTCGCTTTTTCTGTTCCCCAAGCTCCATATCTTCAGTCATATCAGTAATTTTCTCTATATGCTATTTTAAGCAATGGAAAGAAACAATGCATTGTTACAAATGTTATTCTGTCCTCATACCATGAGAATGGACACAATTAGGTAATAATTAATCATCACTAAATGATTTTTTTTTAACCTACTAAAACATTTGATTATTTATAGCCTTGAACTTTCTTGGGAAGAAGATATTTCATAGGGTTTATCTGTTCCCTTGTAAACATGGAACCTCTTTTGTATCGATCCTCATTCTCGCACCAAGGGCATAATTTGAACAATACAGAACATCAGGATGCTTTTACCCAATGATTCTGCTAAACTGGTTGTCCACTAGAAGATCTTTATATGACCCTACCTCATTTTCACCTAAAGCAAGTCTAGTAGTGTGCATCCCTAGATACATCATCCATGCACGTTTGCATTAGGTAGGGCTTGAAATTACTCTGGAATGAACCTGCTCCAAAAACTTTAACCTGGTCAATCATCCTAAAAATGTGGGTCAGATCCAACATCCCAAGCAAATCTGGTATTGTGCATCCCTAGATGCATCATCCATGCAAGTTCAGTCACCAAAAGGCTTATAGTTACTTGAGAATGCTCCAAAACATTAACCTGATCACTTACCTGGAAAATGTAGGTCAGGTCCAGCATCAAAACCAATGTGATATATGTATTGTATACCCCTAGATGTTTCATCCATGCAAATTTGGTTAACATACTTGGGAATAATATCTACTCCAAAAACCTTTAACCTGCTCAAATGAAAGAAAAAGTGAGCAAGCTCACATACCCCACGCTCCCCCAAAACTCAACAATGCAACATGTAATGAATGGCACAGTGCATTTTAAATACACAGTATAATTCAAAAAGGGGCATTACTTGCAAAAAATCATCACATCAAAACTTCTTGCATATAAGGACATTCAAATCTTTGTATGTTACAAATTTAATTGGGCTGAAGTTTCTAGATAAATAATGGAATCAAAATTTCTTGGTAATATACAAATCTATATATTATGTCTGAAAAGTTTCAGGAAATTCAGTGCGGGAGTTATGCTGACAAACTGTTATTTAAATTCCTCAGTGATTTCGATTTGTTAATGAGTGTAAGTCCATGTCCAACACATGACAATTTACACATTTAAATAATTGATGGAAATAAAATTATGATGTAGTCATATGAATTTGTTTATATACTGTACTTATGAAAAATTATTTAAGGCAAAAAAGCACCAATTTGAGGAAAGTGGGGGGGGGGGGGGGAGGGAGAGAGAGAACTATCCAAGATTTTGTGTGTGTGTGTTAAATCATTAATATTTTGATCTCAAAATCAATAGGGGTCTTTTAATGTCATAAAATATTTCACATAAAATTTCATTACAAAACCTGATTCCAGTGGATTTCCTTATTACCTAGCTGGAAAGTTTCTTTAATAATAGGCAAAACTTTTAAGGCAAAAATAATGGAATCGGAAATTCTTGGTAATATGCACATCTACACACTGTGTACTAAATATCTACAAAGTTTAACCAAATTCTGTGCAGCGGTTTAAGAGGAGTTGCACTAACAAACTGTTCGTCTCTATATTCAAGATATGGCCAAAAATCTAAGTTGAAAAGTGCCAAAATTCCCAGAAAAATAAAGGAATCGGAATTTCCTGGTAATATGCACATCTACACACTGTGTACTAAATATCTACAAAGTTTAACCAAATTCTGTGCAGCGGTTTAAGAGGAGTTGCACTAACAAACTGTTCGTCTCTATATTCAAGATATGGCCAAAAATCTAAGTTGAAAAGTGCCAAAATTCCCAGAAAAATAAAGGAATCGGAATTTCCTGGTAATGTGCACATCTACACATTGTGTCCTAAATATCTGCAAAGTTTGACCAAATTCTGTGCAGCGGTTTATGAGGAGTTGCACTGACAAACTGTTCGTCTCTATATTCAAGATATGGCCAAAAATCTAAGTTGAAAAGTGCCAAAATTTCCAGAAAAAATAAAGGAATTGGAATTTCCTGGTAATATGTACATGTACACATTGTGTCCTAAATACCTGCAAAGTTTGACCAAATTCTTTGCAGCGGTTTATGAGGAGTTGCGCTGACAAAAAAACAGGACTGACTGACGGGTCAAAAACATTATACCTCAAGCAACTTGTTGCGTGGGGTATAAAAACGTTAACCTGGTCATTTTTAATAAATATATTGGCTAAAAATGCAGAAACCTTACTGGTACAGTGAAACATACTAGATGCATCATCCATGCATCACTGATCAATATAAGGCATAGATGTACTCTAAAAGAAATCTGCTCAAAAAACTTTAATCTGTGGACATTAATAAGCTCCCCCCGATTTCTGAGGTGAGCTTATCACTCTTTTTTTTCTTTTTTCTTACTTACCTTTTCAGTTGAATCAATATCTTGTATCTCTTCCATCTAAAATGGAGAACAAGAAGTCAGAACGTACCTCTAAAAGTTCAGATTGAAATGCTCTGATTCATGAGAGCTTATCACATCAAATTAATTTGAATCTACTGTAGATTACTGGTACTATATTTTTGTAACACCTTATTTTCGTGACATAGCTACATGTATTTGGTATTTAAAAGCGAGACACAATTTTCACAAACTGTAGCGATTGTTGTATATAATCCTTAACAGTACAAATATATGTGAGAATGAAAATTTCACAAGCAGTCTCGCACAGTTACACAAAAATAAAGTTCTCGCAAATAAAAAGTGATTTACCTTTCAATATTAATTAATACAAAAAATTATGTATCATCATGTAGTTTCATGTTATCATCAAATTAAAAAATTGATGAAAAGAAAGGTGGAGGTTTTTTTCAGCATACCTTATTTTCTTGATTGGTAATCACAGTTTTATTAATAAGGTACTTTTCCAACCCTTCACTCATTATTTTCTCATTGTCTACCATTTTCCCTAGCCTAAAAAAGATACATGCATCTTACACTGCAAGTAAGTAAATCTATATTATTCATTACACCAGTAAAATGTACAATGTTGTACTTGAGTATACTTAAATATCTCACTTTTTTCCTTTCCCCGAATTCTTAACATATCCTTCCTTTTCCATCCTGTCAATGAGTCCATGTGCAATGTTCACTTCTACTCCAAGCCTCTTAGCAAGACTTGGTGCAACAACTCTGCTGGATTCAGTAGTTGCCATCAGTGCTCTTCTATACAGACATGTTGTCTACAATAAAGAACAAGGTGCATGAGTGGGCTACTGTTTTGCCCAAAGAGCAGAGTTACAAAACACTTGTTGGAATGTCTTGTTCGGTCACACAATAGTAAGAAATCAAAAAGAAGTGATGAGAAGCCCTTGGCATTGTGTCATGCTGTTTTGGTTCCTCAATGCAAGGATGATCAAAGTACAATGGGGTTTCATTATTACAGTGATGGCCCGATCGAGTGAAACCTGTTTAGAATTCTATTCATTATCCAATTTATATCTTATTCTGTGAACCATGTTATGCTCAGGCTCACAGAATATTCTGGTCCTTGTAGCTATTATTGCTAAACTGCATTTTGATTGACTATATTTCCATTTTTCCCATTAGATCAGAGGTTTTATTTTTTTTTTTTTTAATTAACAGATTCACCATAGCTTTTGCTATGGAAAAAACATAAAACATCTTTTTTTTTCCTTATGACACACACACACAGATTACAGACCCTATCACTTCCGTTTGATTAATATGACTATGTAACCAGTAAATTTCAGAAAAAAAATCACAATTAACTGATAAGCAATTCTGCATTGACTATCATCTTTAATACATTTCTGTGAAATCATGCTTTAAGTACTGGTAGTAGTATTCACCTGAATAGCAATAGGACTCAGCTTGTACAGATACGGATCTGTTGGCTGCTTTATAGGATCGTCTTTCTGTTAAAACAAAGAAAGGTCATCTCAATTTTTTACATTACCATTACACGAGACATGCTTTTTATGGCATTTTTTAGCTAAATTGATTGAGTATAAATTTCTTAGAATACTTACATCAGCACAGACATCACACACATGGTGTTCTGGGGCCTCATATTCCTCCTTAATACAGAAGCACAGCCCATGTTGCCAGTACTTGCAAATTGCACATAATACCATCAGACCGTCATCCTACAATTAAAAAGAATTCAATGGTATGTTACACAAGCTGTTACAATACTAAGGACAATCTTCACAGTGCTGGTATTCAAAGTATGGCTAACCTCATTACAACCACATGGACATCTGACCCCAAATTCCTCCTCTGTTTCTGTCATCTGACTCATTTCAGAGCCAAGCATTTCAACAGCTTTACCATCAGAACCTAAAAACATGCATATCATAAAATACCTACAAGTATTTCCAACTAAAGAGAATCAAGAAATCTGACAAGAAAATACTAAACCACTCTCTATAGTCAACTCATACTTTTACCCTCATCATTAGCTCACTTATATCACTATGATTACCCCAATACATAGTGCCTTTGTTTGAATCTATTATAAATAGATATTAACTCTGTCTTTTAAGGTAAATATTCACTTACTATATCTAGAACTATTACTTAAAGGTTGGAATATCATTTTTTTTAACCTTTCGTCTAAAATCTTGATCCAATTGCAGATGTGTCTGAGAGAGAAAGTCAGAGACAAACGACAAATCTGCACCAGATAGATTAAAAATAAACCTTTTAAATTTTTTACTTAAATGTTGAAAAAAAAAACTACTGTTTAAAATTTAGAATCAATCATTTACTTTTACATCAAAGAACTGAGGGAAAATTAAATCCCACAGCTCCCATACGAAGCATCAAGTAAAGGTAAACATTTTCAAGTTTTTTTGCTTTTTTTTTTTTTGGTAAAATGAAATTTATTATCACAGTGTGTATAACCATGAAGTATTTTGATCTTCAGACTATATGTGTCTAAATTTCAGTAGGTCAGTATCTGAACAATGATGTCTTCTACCTGGAATTTCTGGACTCTCTGTTGGGACCACTGGTGTTGGTTGTGATTCATCTTTCTTTATATTCTCATTTTTTTCAGTGTCCTGAAAGAAGGTAGATTATAACATGTTTTGTCAAAGAAAAGTTCTATATTTAATTGTGCATTTCAATCTTAAAGATTGGTAAGGGTAAATCTCAAGTTTATTAATGTCATTTTCATTATCATACATGGATAGGTTTCGTAACCATCTTTTTTCACATGTTTAACTTTACACACATTTAAGTTTACACATACAAGTCTCGAGGTTTATTAAAACTTTGCTTTAATGTGCATTGTATCATGTGATATCAACATTACCCATATATACATAAAATAACTGAAAATTGCAACAATTATCAGTTATTAGGAGAGAACTAGTGAAATCTGAGGCAACTGCATTCATTCTTTGAGAAAATAATTGCCATGTCAACTACCTTTATCTTTTTCCTCAAAGAGTCTAAATAATATCTTTTTGCTCAAAGAATCTAGAAAAAACTTAAAATGGTCTTCTGAAATCAAGATCAATGCAGTGTTTGAAGCATATTTTACATACAGTGTGAACTTCAGCATCTGTCTTCATCTCAGCTATTTCCTCTTCCTTGATGTCAAACATTGCCTCATTTGTCTTCACCCTCATTTTAATTCTGAAAAAAAAAAAAAATAGATGACTTCTTAAACATTTGTGAAGAAAAAAAAATATTATTGCAAATTACTGTTTACTGAATTATACTTTACATATTATAATTATGTTATCCTTTGTCTTTTATTTAATATGTAATCAGTTGCTTCCTTGCAATTGATTCCATATCACGTTTAAGGGCACATGCAATATTTTTCCAAATGTGTATAGATATACCCTAAATGTAATTTTAAAAACATTGAGAGCAAAACATGTGCCTAGTTTCATATTTATCTTGTGTTTCTGAAGAAGTAAAAACTGCAAAAAAAAATAAAATACCAAACAATTACAGTAAAAACAGATGTGTTTGTAAAATACTGATGCCCCCATATGGCAGCTCAAGGCCAAGGTTTAAGTTTTTCAAATGTAGGTCAAACTCCAAGGCCAAGAATGAAAAAATATTGGTACCCAAAGTAAGGTCTTTTCACAGGAATACACAAGTGAAATATGAAAGCCCTCGCACCAACCATTTAGAGAATATGGCCAAGGTTAAAGTTTTTCAAAAGTAGGTCATACTGCAATGTCAAGGGCATGAGGTCAAAAATACTAATACCAGAGGAAAGGTGTCTTATCACAAGGATTACAAAATCAAAATATGAAAGCCCTAGCACAACTATTCAAAAGTTATAGAAAAGGTCAAAGTTTTTACTGATGCAAGTCAAACTCAAAGGTCAAGGTCAGGTAGTCAAAAATGTTGGTACCCAAAACGAAGGTCTTGTCACAAGGAATACATATGCTATACATAAAAGCCCTAGCTCCAACCAATCAAATTTATGGCTAATGATAAAGTGTTTCAAAAGCAGGTCAAACTCCAAGGTCAAAATTTTGATACCCAAAAAAGTTCTGGTCACATGAAATATATGTGAAACAAGAAGTCTGTGAGCCAATGCTCACTAATAATACCCCCGCTCTGATGTGAATACACGAGTTCAGTTATGGACAGACACAGTGATAATTGACATCGGATTTGTACAAAAATGAATCCCACCATATGGCATGCCTAAACAAAGAGTGTGCTAAAATTTCAAGCATCTGCGATGAGTAGTTGCTGAGAAAACTGCGACCAAAATTTGTTATGTATGGTACAGATAAACAGGAAGTTGGTAAGATAAAGTAGGTAAAATAACAAGGTCAAAACTTTTAATACCCAAGGAAAGGTCGGGTCATATGAAATACACAGTTGAAATCTAAAGGCCCTAGCACCAGCCATTCAAAAGTTATGGCCAAGGTTAAAGTTTGGTGAAATTTTGCAAAAGTAGGTTAAACTCCAAGGTCAAGGTCAAGAAGTCAAATGAGTTGGTACCCAAAGAAAGGTATTGTCACAAGAAATATACATATATGAAATCTCTAGCACCGACCATTTAATAGTAATGGGCAAGGTTAAAGTTTTTGTAGACAAAAAGACAAACAGACGTATGGACAGAGCAAAAACTATATGCCCCCCAATCTTTGATTAAGGGGACATAAAAACATGGTTACAGCAAAATTGTTAAAAACAAATTCACATTTACAAGTGATTTTCATTCCCTGTAATAATAAAATGTATTAAGAACCTATCACATATAATGAATTACATTTATAATGAATCAAAATTGTTTGTCCCTGGCACTTTGCTATAAGTGTAAATGTAACCTTGAAAAACAGATTATGAATCAAATCTGCTCTATTTATCTTATTATGTAATGAATAAAACTGCTTATTTTAGCTATGGGCACATGTAACATGCATAGTCCTTACCTTACTTGTATGGTCATTATGCATGATACATCACTGAATACTATTCCCATTCAGAATAACATTAATGATTTATTCTAAATGTACACGTACTCATTGTCATAAACAAGCAGGGGTGTGCAATTACCATCGCCCGACGCCCGGGGCTACCAATTTTAGAGGTCGGGCTATCATAAATCTATACTGCATTAGCCCGTCGGGCTAGTAAATCTAAAACAAAAGTATACATATATTTACATCGACTGAATTGATATACGAATTAACTTTGTTGTAAAATCATAATCTTTAATTCGTTTTAACCTATATATATATATATATTGTGTTGCTATCGCCAGTCGTTTCAGTGACAGTTATAGTCGAAGTACCTGACAATAACAAAGCGCAAACCATTATTTGTTTTATTTATTTAAACTTAAATGGTTTTTTTTTTTTTTACCTTTTTGTTATACTTATACATGTATTGTTTTCGATACTTAATGGGCTAGTGACTGACAACCTCGGGCTAGTAACTTTGTTACTGCCACTAGCCCGACGGGCTATTAACTAATTTTTGTAATTGCACACCCCTGACAAGTATTGTTAGTATGAACTTAAACTGTGTTTACTTTACATTTCATTATCCTGCAAGTAACAAAACTAATTCCACTTTCAGTGGGAATGAAATAAAACAAGATCGAGGCCCATGGACCACACTATTCCTTTCACATCTGAAGTACATTTCTTTTTAAAACTGAAGAAGTGAATCAAACTCCTTCTTGTAACCCTAAAATTACAGTGCATGTTCAACCATTTTTATGTACAATATGATGACTGCATGTCACCAGATTGATAAATTTGGCCTTGTTAGTTGTTATAATACCCCTAATGAAAGTTTGACAACTCCCCTTTCCCACTTTTTCCAACAGCCACAAAATTTGAATATTACTGCATCTATATTTCATAATAATTTGACAAACTCTAGCCTCCATTTCAACATTTTTTTTATTTTTCTTGTAAGATTTACCTTTTTTCATTTCTAAAGAGCTAGGTTCACTTTATGCATAAAACGGCCCTGTAGATATACCAATTTATTGACTAACACTTTATGTTCCATTTCAAACATCAAGATATAGTAGAGACTTAGTGCTTTCATTTCCTATTAAAAATTTTCTCCTTAAAACCAAGGTCTTGGAAAACAGGCTTCATGGAATATTGCAATGTTCTTGAATTTTAAGGAAAACAAGTATATTTGAGTACTTTCACAGAAAAGAAATAATAGGAGCGCACCCTCTGATCTAAAAAATAAAACACGTTTTGTAATCTTCAGAAATAGTTCAATCATTTAATAGTTGCATATTTTAGATCAGAGGTTGCACTCTATATCAAATATCAAAAAATAGCTTTAAAAATTGGCTTTTTTGCATAATTTTTCAGGATATGAGGAAATTGACGCATTTCATGACGTCATAATGCATTGACTAGCCAGAAAGTTACGTCATTTTTGACAGATATGCAGTCATCAAAGGTCTAAATGATATTTAATGCATTTTCAACTAAAACCAAGCAGTTTCAGTTCTTCTGAAATTCACAGGGCCAAAAAAGGCCCAAAGTGAACCTTGTTCTTTTGTTTTCTCCTTGAATTTTATTATTTACTCTATGGAAATGCTTGCATCAGTTGACCATGGCCCATCCCACCTCAGGGGACATGATTTGAAGAAACTTCAATCTATGTTACATAGGATTGTTTGTATACTAATTTAGTTGCAGTTCTACCATTTCTAACATTTTTTTTTTTTAAGATTGTTCCTTTATATTCCTATGAAATATTAACCTTTATTGTGGCCAAACTCTAGCCTCAATTCTTTTTGAGACAAATTGAATCTACAATGCATGGGAATGCTTGCATATCATTTGTCAGTGGTCCTACTTTCCTTGGAAAAATTTTGCAAAACTTTCCCTACATATATATCTAATTTGGACCCTAATTCTAACCTGGAAGTCAAGATTTAAAAATTTGAATGTATTCAATGTACAGAAGCTTCTGTATAAGTTTTTGTCTTTTCTGGTTCTGTGGTTCTTGAAATCATCTTTTCAATAAGACCACCTTGCTTTCAATATTTTTAAAAATTATCCTACAATGGAAAGTGCATGACCAATCATTAAACTATAAAATTTGAATCATCTTTATCCAAGAATGCATTGAGGCAGTTTAGTTGAAAATGGTAGAGAATGAAAAAAAAATGTAAAAAATTTATATCAAACATACATAAATACATGGGCATACAGCAATACATTCGCCAGACAAACTTCCATCAGAGATGCTCACTTGAGCCTCTGGCTCAGGAGGTAAAATAAACAATGTTTCAAATTAACAAAAATCTGCAAAAATATAATGATCAACAAATAAACATACCTGTGGAAAGGCTAATAAAATAGGCAACATGCAAAAAATAAGTATATATATATGCCATCACATTTTAATTTGCAGCAGTTACACACTGTAAAAATTTAAAATGTAATTTGGTTAAAGTTTCACAAATTGATTTCACTCTTTCATTACACTGGAGGGAAAATTCTGTGCATTAGAAATGTGCTGTATTGTTTTCTATTTGTAAAATTTCCTCCATCCTTCATAACAACCACTCATACTTTTAAAAAGAAGACAAATCTTACAGTTGCAACATCTCCAACATTGATGGTCACTGGTTCCTCTTCATATTTAAAATCTGTACATGTGGATGGCTTAAATCCAGGTGGTTCATATTCTGGAGGAGTTACTACAAAACCAGATGACAATTCATAAATCAATCAAAAAATATGTTTCCCAATTCAGGGGCTGAAAAAAAAAATTTCAAGCACTTGCCCACTGACGAACTGCATGGTCAAAATTCCATGTCCTACCTCAATTTTTACTTGTCTCACTGTAAACTATAAAATAAGGATAAAATAAAGATAACTTTTATGACCAAAAAAAAGTTTCAATTTCATGTAGTAAAACAACAAAACATATTCACTTGAATTTTTTGTTGTCCACTGTTCAGTATTTCATATTCATCACCAAACCAAAAAATGTTTGCATCCTTTTTAGAGTGTGTTGTTTTGAATATTGACAAAAGTTGAAAACTCCAGCCAGAAAGTACCATATATTAAATTTGTGTTGCTATCATACAGTCATGATTTTTGTGATTTATAAAAAATAATTGCTCCATTGTTTTTCTATCTCATACTTGGTATACTTATACAGTTTTGTGGTTCTTTGGCTCTATCATTAATACTGACAATTGTTGATGCTGTTCTTATCGTCAGCCTCTGGTGGTTTCTGCCATTTTACATTTCCAAATATTTTTCCTTAAGTTAGAACAAGAGGCCCAGGGGCCACATCGCTCACCTGAGCACTATGGCTAGGAAAAAGCAGAAATCAGTTCAGTCTTGAAAGGTTGAAAAGTTTAAATAAAAAAGTGGTTCGGGGGGGGGGGGGGGGGGGGGGGGGGGGGGGGGGGGGTCATGAATTGAACAAATTTGAATCTACATTATCTGAGGATGCTTCCAGGTAAATATGACCAATCATGGCTTTGCTGTTCTTGAGAAGAAGATTTTTAAAGATTTAACCTATGTATTCCTATGTAAAACTTTGATCGCCCATTGTGGCCCCACCCGACCCACGGGGGTCATGATTTGGACAAACTTGAATCTACACTACCTGAGGATGCTTCCAGGTAAATATGACCAATCATGGCTTTGCTGTTCTTGAGAAGAAAATTTTTAAAGATTTTTCCTATATATTCCTATGTAAAACTTTGATCGCCCATTGTGGCCCCACCCGACCCCCGGGGGTCATGATTTGAACAAACTTGAATCTACACTACCTGAGGATGCTTCCAGGTAAATATGACCAATCATGGCTTTGCTGTTCTTGAGAAGAAAATTTTTAAAGATTTTTCCTATATATTCCTATGTAAAACTTTGATCGCCCATTGTGGCCCCACCCGACCCCCGGGGGTCATGATTTGAACAAACTTGAATCTACACTACCTGAGGATGCTTCCATGTAAATATGACCAATCATGGCTTTGCTGTTCTTGAGAAGAAGATTTTTTAAAGATTTTTCCTATATATTCCTATGTAAAACTTTGATCACCCATTGTGGCCCCACCCGACCCCCGGGGGTCATGATTTGAACAAACTTGAATCGACACTATCTGAAGATGCTTCCATATAAATATGACCAATAATGGCTTTGCTGTTCTTGAGAAGAAGATTTTTAAAGATTTCTCCTATATATTCCTATGTAAAACTTTGATCCCCCATTGTGGCCCCACCCGACCCCCACGGGTCATGATTTGAACAAACTTGAATCTACACTATCTGAGGATGTTACCATATAAATATGACCAATCATGGCTTTGCTGTTCTTAAGAAGAAGATTTTTAAAGATTATTCCTATATATTCCTATGTAAAACTTTGATCGTCCATTGTGGCCCCACCCGACCCCCGGGGGTCATGATTTGAACAAATTTGAATCTACACTATCTGAGGATGCTACCATATAAATATGACCAATCATGGCTTTGCTGTTCTTGAGAAGAAGATTTTTCCTATATATTCCTATGTAAAACTTTGATCGCCCATTGTGGCCCCACCCGACCCACGGGGGTCATGATTTGAACAAACTTGAATCTACACTATCTGAGGACGCTACCATATAAATATGACCAATCATGGCTTTGCTGTTCTTGAGAAGAAAATTTTTTAAAGATTTTTCCTATATATTCCTATGTAAAACTTTGATCGCCCATTGTGGCCCCACCCGACCCCCGGGGGTCATGATTTGAACAAACTTGAATCTACACTACCTGAGGATGCTTCCAGGTAAATATGACCAATCATGGCTTTGCTGTTCTTGAGAAGAAGATTTTTAAAGATTTTTCCTATATATTCCTATGTAAAACTTTGATCGCCCATTGTGGCCCCACCCGACCCCCGGGGGTCATGATTTGAACAAACTTGAATCTACACTATCTGAGGATGCTACCATATAAATATGACCAATCATGGCTTTGCTGTTCTTGAGAAGAAGATTTTTAAAGATTTTTCCTATATATTCCTATGTAAAACTTTGATCGCCCATTGTGGCCCCACCCGACCCCCGGGGGTCATGATTTGAACAAACTTGAATCTACACTACCTGAGGATGCTTCCACATAAGTTTCATATTTTCAAGCACTGTGGTTCTTGAGAAGAAGATTTTTTTTATGATGCCATTAATTTTTCACAAATTCTTAATTATCTCCCCTTGGAAGAAGGCGTGGCCCTTCATTTGAACAAACTTCAATCCCTTTTACCCAAGGATACTTTGTGGCAAGTTTGGTTGAAATTGGCCCAGTGGTTCTTGAGAAGAAGATGAAAATGTGAAAAGTTTACAACAACAACAACAACGACAACAACAACTACAACGACGACAGACAACGGACAAATTTTGATCAGAAAAGCTCACTTGAACCTTTGGCTCAGGTGAGCTAAAAAGTTCACATTCTCATGAACTACCATGGGATGAGTAAGAATATTTCCATTGTGACTTAATTGAAGTCAAAAAATAGTGCAAGCTTTATTTTTCAAAAATGATCATTGAATGACAAAAATATATGGCAAGTCATCAGAAAAATAATGTAAATACAAGATATTAATTTAATTTTTGAGAATTCATGAGGTACATGAACTACAATGCTTCACACCTGCATATTTATCATGAAGCGCTAAAACGCTTCATGAAATATGCCGGCATGAAGCGTCGTAGTGCATGTCCTCATGAAATCTCAAAAATTAAATTCATTTCTCAAAACTTTCTCCATTACTCCACTGCCGTTTTGTAAATTTCAAACTTTTTACTTTCAGTAGGATACATGATGACACAATTAGACTGGTTTCCATACAAAGTCTATACCACTAGTATTTACAAACAAAGGAACATAACTCTTACTTATGGATTGCATTATTTAATTAATTGCCCAAGGACAAATGCCTATTAAAAATTCACATCGACCTCTAAAATTCACCCCTAGAGGTCACGCAATGGGATTTGTCAGCCCCTGAAATTAAACAATTAATCTGAATATACAAATGGAACAAAAAAATATATATATATATGCATGTCCAAAGAAAAGAAATCTTACCTTCATCATAATAAAGCAACTTCATGGTCAGCATAGTGTCTTCTGGAATGGCATTCATTGTTTGTGTTAAAACAACAATTGTGCGAAGGAGGCGAATTGTTGCTTTCTTGATTTCACTGGCAGTATTTGCACTTGATATCTTTTGGTTGTTTCTAAACAAATATTGTTGTACTTTATACTTAGTTGTAAATTATCAAATACATGCATTGTAAATTATCAAATACATGTATTGTAAATTATCAAATACATGTATTGTAAATTATCAAATACATGTATTGCAAATTATCAAATACATGTATTGTAAATTATCAAATACATGTATTGTAAATTATCAAATAAATATTTGACAACAGTTATAACACAGACCATTTACCTTCTTTTATTCAAAACAACATACATTTCCTTTCAAAGTTGTACATATACTTGTACATCTACAACATTTCATTAAATTCACCTTAATACTAAACAGTCTTTACCAATTTTAAGTTGAAGAACTATTTTTGCCATTAATGTTCATATAGTCCCTCCATTTAAATGTTAAACTAAAACACATGAAATATTTTTGAATATTGTAGTAAACCTACAAACTGAAATACATGTAAATAGATTTTGTTTTCAGATGGCTAGTGGATCTTAAAAGGTAATTGCTGGCAGGCTAGAAGTTTGAAAAGCTCATCATTATGACTGAGGAAATGAGATGAAAATCATAGTAGTTACCCAGGTCTTGTACTGAAAACAGGGCTGAACATAAAAAGTACATACATTTGTTACCAAAGCCAGACATTTTCCATTCTGACATAAATTGAGTCATTCCACAAACCAAATAATATTACATGTACTTTAGCTTTTGCAGTTTGTCTTTTATCTCTAGTGTGGATTTCATTCCTTTTTTTTTCAACCCACAAAAAGAGAATCTAAATCTTGTTTATCAAAAGAATAAAAATGAGTTTGTTCCAAAAATTCAATACAAAAAATTCCAACTTTGCAGTTTTGTCTTTTCTTAATTTCATACTGTTGTTATGCCTCTCAAGCTTTTCAAACTGCTCAGATTTGTATTTCTAAAATCAACACATCAGAAGAGAATTCACTTAGTAACTTACCTGTAAATATCTACTCCTGTCTCATCTGCATAGCTGAACTTGAATGTGTATGATTCAATCAAGGTCTACAAAGCAGGTCAAAATTTAATACACAAACTTTAACTATTGATACATTTTATAGGTATATTGTTAACAATGAGAACAAAGTTACATTGCATCACCAAATGATTGATCCTACATAAGTGGAATTAAATATTCAAGAAAAATTGAAATGAAATTATACAAGAGGCCCAAGGGCCTTAACGGTCACCTGAGTATAATACAAGACTGTAAAGGGTCCATAAAAGTATACAAGAGGCCCAAGGGCCTTAACGGTCACCTGAGTATGATAAAACAATTTCAAGGATGCATAGAGTATAAAATGAACTGAAAGGTGAAGCTTTGTTGCCCAAAAGCAAGAAAAATAGGGTGATCATGATCAACAAAATAATTGGTCTTAATATTCATTAACAGTTCATAAATTAGATTCTAATCTGTTCCCCATTTATCACTATCACTATACAGTATATTAACAAATTATCAATGCTTCTGTACTATTTTAATCCTTTGTTGAAATCTCTTACATTGGCATCTCTTGGTCTTTGATGAATATTTAATAAGACAAGTTATTTTTGTCTCATTTTTATTTATCTACTACTTACAAGTCTATCTGATCATTAAAACTATGAAAGTACTTTTTGTATTATACAATAAAAGTTTTTGCAAAATTCTCTTATTCTATTTACCTTTCAAGTACATTATTTACAGTGATAAATTATCAAAAGTAAATGGTAAAGGGGAATAACTCCTCTCAGTAGAATACAAACTAATAGAGCCCTGGCCAGGACCAGAACACTTGACCAAATGGTCCAGATGTTCAAAAATCTGGTAAAAATTCCCTTCCTTATAAAAACTTTTACTCTGTTTGCCTCAGATATGCCCAGGTGCGGAGAAGATTTTTAAATAAATAATGCATTTTTACTACAGATTCACTATATTATCAATAGAGCCCCCCCCAACCCCCCAACCCCAAAACACCAGAGCTTCTGACCCTGGGACCATATGTTTGCTCATCATCACTTTGTTTATCTGCTTAACACTAAGGAGCAAACAGGATTATTTAATAGAATTAATGCATTTTCACTAAATTATCAAGAGCCCCACCCTCACACCAGCACATCTGACCCAGGGGTCATGAAATTCACTACTCTGGAAGAAGCACACTAGCTCATCATAACTATACACTTAGCTTCTTTGCTTTTTTAACCAGAAGAAGAAAAGAATATTTTCAAAGAAATTCTGCTTTTTCACTTTATAATCAATAGAAGCCCTCCCCCCCCCCCCCCTTCACCAGAACCCTTAAACCTGGGGTCATAAAATTCACAATTTTGGGAAGAGGCATCCTTGTGTATCATAACAATGTACTTTAGCCTGTTTAAGCAATACCCAGGGGCAGAGAAGATTTTCAAAGAAATAATTCACCTTCACTATAGGATCTATATAGCCCCGCCCTAGCACCAGAACTCCTGTCCCCAGGGCCATGAATTTCACAATTTTGGAAGAGGCATCCTTGCTTATCATAAAAATGTACTTAGTTTGTTTAAATAATACCCAGGTGCAGAGAAAAAGATTTTTAAAGAATTAAAACATTTTCACTTTATAATCAATTTAGAGCCCTGCCCTAACACCAGAACCCCTGATCCAGGGGCCACGAATTTCACAATTTTGAAAGAGGCATCCTTGATTATCATAACTATGTATTTAATATGTTTCAATAATACCCAGGAGTAGAGAAGAAGATTTTCAAAGGATTAATGCATTTTCACTATATAATCAATAGAGCCCCACCCTAACACCAGAACCCCGACCCAGGGGCCATGAAATTCACAATTTTGAAAGAGGCACTCTTGCTCATCATAACTATGTACTTAGTTACTGAATTTAATACCAAGGAGCAGAGAAGAAGATTTTCAAAGGATTAATGCATTTTCACTATATAATCAATAGAGCCCCGCCCTAACACAGAACCCCTGACCCAGGGGCCATGAATTTCACAATTTTGGAAGAAGCACTCTTGCTCATCCTAACTATGTACTTAGTTAGTTTATTTAATACCCAGGAGCAGAGAAGAAGATTTTCAATGAATTAATGCATTTTCACTATATAATCAATAGAGCCCCGCCCTAACACCAGAACCCCTGCCCCTGGGGTCATGAATTTCACAATTTTGAAAGAGGCACTCTTACTCATTATAGCTATATACTTAGTTAGTTTATTTAATACCCAGGAGCAGAGAAGATTTTCAATGAATTAATGCATTTTCACTATATAATCAATAGAGCCCCGCCCTAACACAGAACCCCTGACCCTGGGGCCATGAATTTCACAATTTTGGTAGAGGTACTCTTACTCATCATTACTATATACTTAGTTAGTTTATTTAATACCCAGGAGCAGAGAAGAAGATTTCTAAAGAACAAATGCATTTTCACTATATAATCAATAGAGCCCCGCCCTAATACCAGAACCCCTGCCCCTGGGGCCATGAATTTCACAATTTTGGAAGAGTCACTCTTACTCATCATAACTATATACTTAGTTAGTTTATTTAATACCCAGGAGCTGAGAAGAAGATTTTCAAAGAAATAATGCACTTTCACTATATGATCTATATAGCCCCGCCCTAGCACCAGAACCCCTGCCCCTGGGGCCATGAATTTCACAATTTTGGTAGAGGACTCAATGCTTATCACAATGATGCCAACAGTTTGACTGCTTGATGTCCAGGAGTAAAGAAGAAGATTTTTAAAGATTGCATTAATTTTGGTGGTTTTAGCCCCACCCCTCAGGCCCCAGGGGGGGCAGGGACCATGAAATTCACAATTTTTGTTCCCCTTCACCCATAGATGCTATATGCCAAATTTAGTTGAAATTGGTTGAGCAGTTTCAGAGAAGAAGCTGAAAATGTTCAAATGTTAACGCACATCGCATTACGCACGCCGACGGACAAAAACGGATAGCAATAGGTCACCTGAGTGACTCAGGTGACCTAAAAATTTGTAAAAAGCACTCCTGTTCATCATAACTATGCACTTTGTTTATCTGCTCAACACTCAGAAGAAGACAAGATTATTTAAAAGAATTACTGCTTTTTTACTATTTAATCAATAGAGCCCTGCCCTAACACCAGAACCCCTGACCCTGGGGCCATGAAATTCACAATTCTAGAAGAGTCACCTTTGGTCATCATAACTAAGTACTTAGTTAATTTGATCATAATTAATAACCAGGAGCAGACAAGAAGATTTTCAAAGAATTAATGCATTTTCACCATATAATCAATAGAGCCCCACCCTAACACAAGTACCCCTGACCCTGGGGCCATGAAATTCACAATTTTGGAAAAGGCAGTCTTGCTCATCATAACTATGTACTTAGTTAGTTTATTTAATACCCAGGAGCAGACAAGAAGATTTTCAAAGAAATAATGCATTTTCAATATATAATCAACAGAGCCCCGCCCTAACACCAGAACCCCTGACCCTGGGGCCATGAAATTCACAATTTTGGAAAAGGCAGTCTTGCTCATCATAACTATGTACTTAGTTAGTTTAATTAATACCCAAGAGCAGAGAAGAAGATTTTAAAAGAAATAATGCATTTTCACTATATAACCAATAGAGCCCCGCCCAAACACCAGAACCCCTGACCCTGGGGCCATGAAATTCACAATTTTAGAAGAGGCACTCTTGCTCTTCATAACTATGTACTTAGTTAGTTTATTTAATACCCAGGAGCAGAGAAGAAGATTTTCAAAGAAATAATGCACTTTCACTATATGATCTATATAGCCCCGCCCTAGCACCAGAACCCCTTACCCTGGGGCCATGAATTTCACAATTTTGGTAGAGGGATTAATGCTCATTACAATGATGCCAACAGTTTGACTGCTTGATGTCCAGGAGTAAAGAAGAAGATTTTTAAAGATTGCATTAATTTTGGTGGTTTTAGCCCCACCCCTCAGGCCCCAGGGGGGCAGGGACCATGAAATTCATAATTTTTGTTCCCCTTCACCCATAGATGCTATATGCCAAATTTAGTTGAAATTGGTTGAGCGGTTTCAGAGAAGAAGCTGAAAATGTTCAAATGTTAACGCACATCGCATGACGCACGCCGACGGACAAAAACGGATAGCAATAGGTCACCTGTGTGACTCAGGTGACCTAAAAACAAAATTAACTAAAAGATGGAGCAATGCTGCCCAAGAATTTTAAAAATCTGGTAAAAATACCCTTGCTTATTGTAACGTGTTAGACCCGAGTGATCTCCTAAGGATCATACTTGGTTTTCCCAAGTCTTACAGGGATGATAATGAATGCAAAATATACAAATACAATAAACACTTGCCTATTGTGTAAGGTATTCAATATATACAGATATGTTTTTGTCACTTGCCTAGTGATACAATTCAGTATGCACAGACTTGGTTACACAACATGGCTTCTTGCCACTCGTCACAGATTACAATAAGTCACCCTGACTCTCTGTGATTTTTTATTAACTTTGATAAAGTATAAAACATCTTCGTCCAGTCTCTTATCAACCATGACTCTACCAGTGACAAAAACTCATCTACTGTCAAACAGAACACCACAGTGTAAACATACTTAGTACAACTTTTGCTAAATTTATATAAATAATCTTTATGTCAATCTTTTATATTGCTTTCCAGGCAAGAATCAGCTGACTTTGAGAATGCTTTGCTCATTTAAACTAAACATTCATTTTTATTTTGTTTCTAAATATATAATATTCTTTCTTGTATTCTCATTCAATCTAATAACTAAATTAAATCATATACAAGGATTTCTTGATTAACAACATCTAGCAAAGGGGAGTAACTCTCAATTGCTTCACTTATTACATTTGTGTACTCTTTTTGCCTCCTAGATACCCAGGAGCAAAGGAAAGGCACATTAACTCATAATTTTATTTAATACATTTCCATTGATATTATTACATTTAGTTTGTTTGCTTAGTACTCAGAAGCAGAGGAGAAGATTTTCAAAGCATTAATGCATTTTTGCTAATTAATCAATAGATTCCCACCCAAGCACAAGAACCCCTGACCCTGGGGCCATGAAATTCACAATTTTGGAAGAGGCACCCTTTCTCATCAGAACTATAGTCTATGTACTTAGTTCATTTGCTAAATACCCAGGAGCAGAGAAGATTTTCAAAGAATTAATGCATTTTCACTATATAATCATTAGAGCCCCGCCCTTGCGCCAGAACCCGCCATGAAGTTTGTTTGCTTAATACCAAGGGGCAGAGGAGAAGATTTTCAAAGCATAAATTTATTTTCACTATATAATAAATAAGCCCCCCCCCTCCCCCCAAAAAAACCCAGACCCAAGGGTCATGAAATTCGCAATTTTGAAAGAGGCACTCTTCCTCATCATAACTATGTACTTTATTCATCAGCTTAATACCCAGGAGCAGAGAAGATTTTTTAAAGAATTAATGCATTTTCACTACATAATCATTTAGAGCCCTGCCCTAACACCGGCACCCTGAGCCAGGGGCCATGAAATTCACAATTTTGGAAGAGGCATTCCTTCTCATCATAACTATGTACTTAATTCATCGGCTTAATACCCAGGAGCAGAGGAAAAGATTTTCTAAGAATTAATGCATTTTCACTATATAATCATTAGAGCCCCGCCCTAGTGCCAGAACCCCTGACCCAGGGGCCATGAATTTCACAATTTTGGTAGAGGGCTCAATGCTTATTACAATCATGCCAACAGTTTGACTGCTTGATGTCCAGGAGTAAAGAAGAAGATTTTTAAAGATTGCATTAATTTTGATGGTTTTTGCCCCACCCCTCAGGCCCCAGGGGGGCAGGGACCATGAAATTCACAATTTTTGTTCCCCTTCACACATAGATGCCATATGCTAAAATTGGTTCAGTGGTTTCAGAGAAGAAGCTGAAAATATTCAAATGTTAACACACGACGGACGACGACGGACGAAAACGGATAGCAATAGGTCACCTGAGTGACTCATGTGATCTAAAAATGCAGAAATGTTGCTTCCACATTATTCCTCTCCTTTCCTCTCCTTTCACATGAAACAGCAACAGCATATATAAAGAAGTATAATTATCCCTCAGACTGAATTGTCACAATTTCATTGGTTCAAACAGGACACGAAACTGCCAGTTATATTTCTGTCTGGAATATGAGTACTTTTATCCAGCAATATGGATGACACCTAACCATGTTGATACAAGGAATCATTTATTGCAGTGTATGTGGTTCTCATATTATGAGTTGAGAAATAAATCACTTCTTAGGTTTGTTATTGCACTATCTATGGGAATATATCATGATGAAGGTTTCTCAATCTATTACACTTCTCTGCTTTAATTGTCATCTTTTAGATTGATCAACCAGATATATAGACAGTCAACAAAAAACCAAATAAGTAATATTATATATAGACTGCTTACATGAATATCTTTATCTTACCTCAGGATTTTCAGGATCACGGTAGAGCTGAAATGTAGACCCATATTATTTGATTAAAAAATTCATCCGTTAAATTGTCAAACATACAAAAGAACGTTCTTTTACTTCTCTCTGTATAGGGGGTGCTTTTAAGAATTCAGAAAATAAGTAATATTAATTATTACATACCCCTAAGATAAGAATTCTGAGCTGGAAAAAAAATTATGACACACTAAATCTACATACAATCTGCTAATAGTATTAAGTTCTTAAATCTATATTCTAAAAGTACTGAAAGTTAAAATTATGAGTTTACTGTTTAACAGTTGATGGCACTCAATCTTTTTGGAACCAAAATATTTTTTTTTCTTTTTTAAAGATTCCTCTCCTGAATTTTTCATATATCCCTTTGAAATGAACGTTCTACTATCTTATGCGAATTAATTTTAAAAAATCCCCTTTCTTACATATTTCTTATCCAAGGCATCAAAGCATCCTTTCATGTACTGTATGAATTTACATACTCCTGGACAGGCACTGTCATCTCTCAAAGTTTTCAAATGGAGGTCTAGAGATGAAATTTACAAATGCATCAATTCAATTCTAATTGTAATTGGAATAAAATAGTATTAAAATTTATACCAGTATTTTAGAAACAGTATCGATTTCATATCAATTAAATACTTAAGTCATTCAATTCCATGGTGCTAAAAACTGATGATTTATTTGTTTCAAGTGTACCAATCCTGAAGGTTAAAATTTCATGCTAAAGCCAGATACTTTGTTGCATGATCAGATAATCTTATTCAATATATGGTTTCAATTTCACAGAAAAATGATAAATTGTGAAAACCATTGTGCTAATTTCCCAATCTACAGCATCAAAACTGGTACCCAGCCATAAACATCTTACTATTTAAAATCAATATCTGTACTTGTTTTTATCAAATCCTGTTAGAAATTCATCTGTACCTTCAATAGAGCGATCTCCAAATGCATGCTCTGGGAATAACGCTCTAAGATAAGCAATGTTTGAAACTGCTACAGCCAACAATTTCTTCACAAATAGTATGGATTTCTGTTCTGTCACAGTTTCATTTGGAAAAATTCCTGTCAACTAAAACCAAAATAAATCATGGTTATGTGTATTTGTGAACAAGTGTAAACAATTTTGTTAAAAATATGATGAGTAACTGTCATTATAGCATGCCAAAACTTGCAACAACAGAACTTAAAACAAGTTAACCTTAATTCACATAATATCAAACCAAGACAGAGAAAGAAATGGCATTTCAAATTCAGCAGTTTTAAACAGGACATACACATTGAATAATCATTCATACTTATTGTAACTTCTGGGGTTTTTATAGTGATTATTTCCTCCTGCATGATGAATGATCTGTTCTTTCAAGAACAATGCAAGAGTAACGTATCTTAAAATGGGAAACATTTACAATGTTGCATACAGTGCCATTTACATAATCAATGTCATTTTATGAATAAAATCTTACATCTTTAGTTTTCTCTCTTTGGCACTGTGTAGTTGCCATTTCAGAGTGTCTGAAATAAAATTAAATAAAAATTTTAGCAATTAATATTTTAAAATGATTTTGTCAGGAAAATGTGGTAAGTTTTAGATGCCTCTTGCTTTGACTTTTACCTTAAGTTTGCAATGTATGTGTTATATGAGACAATAGCCATTCAATGGATATTTAAAAGGTCTGGCACAATCTCTTGATAAATCTATATATATAATATATTATATATATAAGCTTGCCTCAGCTATAAATAGTTTGATTCAGCTATTCAAAAACTAGCTTGATTTCAGTATTTTATCCATCGTTGCTAGCCAAGGGTTTCTGATCTGCTACTCTCCTCATAAACTCTTGGACTATGGTGCTATCAAAAGTCGGGATTGTTTACATTACTAGATCTTGAATCTTATCACATCAGGGGTGTGCAATTAACATCGCCCGACGCCAGGGGCTACCAATTTTAGAGGTCGGGTTATCATAAATCTATACTGCGTTAGCCCGTCGGGCTAGTAAATCTAAAACGAAAGTATACGTATATTTATGTCGACTGAATTGATGTACGAATTAACTTTGTTGTAAAATCATAATCTTCAATTCGTTTTAACCTATATGTATTGTCTGTTGCTATCTCCAGTCGTTTCAGTGACAATTATAGTCGATAAAAATAGGGAGAAGTACCTGACAATAACAAAGCGCAAATCATTACTTGTTTTTTTTTTTGTTTTTTTTTTAACCTAAATGTTTTTTTTACCTTTTTGTTATACATGTATTGTTTTCGGTAGTTAATGGGCTAGTGACTGGCAACCACAGGCTAGTAACTTTGTTACTGCCACTAGCCCGACGGGCTAGTAACTGATTTTTGTAATTGCACACCCCTGCACATACACATAGCTTGCATCTTCAACAAAAATAAAGAGCGTACAGTTGAACTTTGGTATCTTGAACACTGATATCTCGAATACCATGGATATACCGAAGTGATTTGGAGATCCCAACCACTTATTCTTTACATATTTTACCCTTGATATCTTGAATCTTAAGTCAATTTTAATTAAATATATCTCTTTTGCTGTCAAATATTTCAGAATAAAATCTTAATTTATCTATCAAAAAATTATTCAAGATTTATTATTAGCACTGTTTTTACTCCTTATCTTAGAAGTAATTATGTTTATTTAAAAATCAGTGCGTGCTCCTGATCGGCCGTATGTCCGAGAAATCGCCGATTTTTGTGGTTGTTTACTTAATATCTAAATTATTCTATAATATGTACTTTAAAATTTATTAAATATCCATTCCGATACACAAAAAGAACAGATTAAAATTTATTAAATATCCATTCCGATACACAAAAAGAACAGATTACATTAATCAGAAAACAAGCTTTTTACTGGGAAAAACGTAGTTTGAAAAACTTGCAGTGTTGTGTGTGCCGTTTTGGGTAAATAAACATGGTACTGAAGGAGTTGCCTATCCCGTTTGTATATAAGTCCCTGATATTACTTGCAAAAATTAACCAACTATAACATATTCCACATAAAGTCAAATGCACCTTGTCCGAACGAGTTTTAGAGCAAACAGACTCTTGGGGAACAAGAATATTGGGGTGAAAGGCATCAAGGGGGAACACATTTTAGGTTGAACGAACATACATTCAGAAGGACGGACGGATGGACACCCCCATCACTATACTCCCTCCCCCTTTTCATTTCCCCGCTTGCCATTCAAGCTTACTCAAGACATTTTGCTTGACTTGGAAAGGTTATAGTCGTTACACACCTTAAAAGAAGCTTTGGATAGCAGTACTGTTTATACCCTGTATGCACTTACTACTTCTTATTCACTAGATCTACTTCTTCAAGTCTGTGGTTTTCTTGTCAGCAGACGACCTCTACGCGATGTTGACCAAACAAATGTCACGTGATCCTCAGTTCTCTTTAAGCGCTTTAATGACGAAGATTTGTCATGCGCATGTCGTTGCTATCAACAACATAACTTACTTCCGGTTGCAACTGTATTTTTGAACAAAAAATTGACTGAAGCTGTGATTTTCATCCAACTTAAGTGAGTATTTCGAAGTTTTTGATTTGTTTTTTCATCATATATTGATATGATCCTAAGTGTTATTATTCCGCATATTACTGATTATATAAATACTTTATTTTAGAAATTCATAGACATGTGCCTAATTGTTGACATGTGATTAACTGTAATAATGACTTTTTAAGCCTTTTAATAAAAAAATTACTAGTTAAAATCTAATTTAAACATATTACTAAACGTATTTAAACTACTGTATTCTAGCTTCCAAACAATATCAGTAATATAAAGAATGATGTACATGGTGAAATATTTTGCTTTTTTCTCTTTCCTGTCACACACACATATACTTTATAAAGTTGAAAGAAAAGTTTAAATTTTAGAACGTAGGTTGCATAGACAATCAAGCATTTTGGTACTGTGTAAAGAAAGATTGCATTGATAGGTGCATGAATTTTTTTTTAAAGATTTTGTTGCTGTTAATACCACTGATATTTCATTTTTGTTAAACATTGTTTTGGCTAAGACATTGCTTGATTAAGTTCTGTCTCATGTTTGTCAGTTCAATTGTCTTCTTGAATACATCCCTCATTATGTCATGTTTGTTAGAATGAACAATGTTTGCAAGCATATAACAGGTCCAGCACAATACCCTGATAAAGGTATATAGCTTGATAAAGCTATATAGCTTTATCAAGGTATTACAAATACCTTGATCAAGGTATTTTATGTCATGAAAATACAAAAAAAAATCCTAAAAAAATAAATACTGAAAGTCGAGTTCTGAGTTGTTCTCAGTAAATTCACTCATGCATGTAAAGTACTTAAACACAAAGAAATCGGTATAAAAGCATGTCCTATGAGGAGACGTTCTTTTATGCTGTCTTTTTGATACCTGAGTACTTTTCATGCACAAGTGAACACACTGACCACAACTCATAATTCGACTTTTAAATTTAATTTTTTAGGAATTTTTTTTGTATTTTCATTACACAAAATACCTTGATCAAGGTATTTGTAATACCTTGATAAAGGTATATAGCTTTATCAAGCTATATACCTTTATCAGGATATTGTGCTGGACCTGTATAAAGCAATAATTTGCTTAACTTTAATTATAAAGAAAATGAATTTATCAAAAATGATTTGATACAGGGATTATTTTAGAGTACAATTTACTTATTTAGGTTGTACCCATATAAGTAATTTCTAACTTGTATCTCTTGATTTTTTCTTACATTAAGAGAATATTTCCAGTTATAATTTGGATCCCCGACTAGATAGATTGTCTTCTAACCTGAAAGTATATGCATTATCCATTAATATTTTAATTTCAGACTTTATAATGCCTACCAATCCAGATGAGCCCTACTACTGCTCACAGCAAATAAACATTCCACCATCATTACCTGATATTCTGAAACAGTTCACAAAAGCAGCGATTCGCACTCAACCAAAAGATGTGCTGGCATGGTCTGCTGCGTAAGTTATTTTAGAATTAAAAATATAAATCTGATACTCAAAGCCAGAGGTCAGAGAACTTTAATAATTCAATGGCAAATGATCATTCAGATACAGGATTTACAGAATAAAGAAAAATATGTTTACCTCAGTTTTGATGTACATATTAAAAATATCATGGACCACTTGAGACCACAAATAGCTTGACACACAGAAAAAATCTTAGCACAACTGATTTATATGTTTAGCTGGATATAAGTATGCATGATAACAATAAAGATGATGGGTATTGATGAGGCAGATACTTTGGTAAATTTTAACAAATTGAAACGAGTACTAGTAAAACCATCTTCTTCCCTTCCCAACTATTTGTGGATTAGAAGTGTGTTCACATGGTTACCTTTTTGAAAAATATGAATGAAGAGTTATTATTACACATTTTATAGCTATTTCAAAGACATGGCAAAAGGAGAGACACCCCCTGTGAAAGAGAGACTGGAAATGCCTGTGGCCACACAGAAAACTGATACAGGTCTCACCCCAGGTCTTTTGAGGGTGCTAAATAAGCAGGTATGACTCAATTCAGAAGAATAATATATATATAAAATAAAACATATAGTTATGATTTCCTCAATATCCTTTGTATTAATATTGTTTTTGATTATTAATATCTCAGCTTATTTGCAAATACATGAAATTCCAAATGCATTTGTCAGATTCATGTATCATTTTAATATGTTTGGCCATATAATTCAGACAAAAAAATATGAATTAAAGTTCATGTTGAGCACAACAAATTAATGCTTTTACTGACTGATCTGAATAAATTTCTCCTTTCCATCCCTCCTTATCATGATTTAATTCTAATTTGATTATTTAGGTGGAACATTTTTTCGTAGACTCCAAGGTTGGCCATTTGTATTCCTTTATCTCATATAAAATGTTTCTTCTTACCAAAATCAATCACAGAGAGAATTTGCAAGTGTTCACAGATTGTTTTCACTGATTAATGGTTGTGTATAACTCAAGAATATCCTGAAACGTACACGGAAACAATGTTTGAAACAACACAATTTCATTAAATGAAACAAGTGCTTGAAAAACTAACAATCACTGAATGACATAATATCAGCAAAGATGTTTATATATGGACTTTATTATCTTGTCAATGCAATTATGAGCATGCAATGCTATAAATCTGAAAGAAAAAAATATGAAACAGCATACACTGACATGATGTTATAAATTCAACCAATTTTCTCTCAAGCTGACATCATTTACAAACATATCATTGTACAAATAACTAGATAGTATATGGTAATGTTCCTGGTTTAACCAATTTTGTTGATTTACACAGCTTGGTCCAAAGAAGACAGTATCATTAAGCTTAATTGAGGAGAAGTGGGCTGATTTAGCCCTCCCCAAAGAACAGTTTGATGACCTGGTCAGGATAGGAAGTTTTGGAGGAGAGGTGGAGTGGAATAAATTTTTTGCCCTCTGTGCATCAGCACTGGGAGAGGTAAGAATGCTGACTGAGGGATGAGTTTGGTTTAGGAATTAAGTTTAATATCACCTACCTTTTGAAGATAGCTGAAAAATATATATATATAAATGTATAGAGTATGGGATAATGAAGGATGTGCCCTAGCCGGTCTATTACTTGAAGCTTTTTATGCCACAGTTCTCTACATTAAGTGCTGAATCAGATTTGAAGATTTTTTTTAACGATGAAAGGCATTTCACATATACATTTATTGAATATTTTGGTAATTCATGTTAAAATCACTTATAGTGTTTGATTCTTTTTTCAGATAATATGTTATAATTAAACTTCGATTAAAGGGTCTACAATCAAACATGTATATAGTGGAAATGTATAGAGCCATGGCCTGTTTATAACAAAGTTATATTTTGCCACTTGGTTTTTCAAATTTGTAAAATAGCTTTTGGAATATTGCATAAAACAATTATGGATATAACAAAGATTTTGTCAGTCCAAAGGGATTTCTTGTATACATGATTATACCCCCGATTCGAAGGAGAGGGGGTATACTGTTATACCCTTGTGTGTCTGTCTGTCTGTGTGCCCAACAAATTTTCGTCACAGTTTTCTCAGCAACTACTCATCGCAGATGCTTGAAATTTTAGAACACTCTTTGTTTAGACATTTCATATGGTGGAATTCAGTTTTGTACAAATCTGATGTCAACTTCTTGTTTTGCCATGTGTCTGTCTGTACCAAATTTTCATCACAGTTTTCTCAGCAACTGCTCATTGCAGGTGCTTGAAATTTTAACACACTCTTTGTTTAGACATGCCATATGGTGGGATTTATTTTTTACGAATCCGATGTCAACTTACTGTTTATTCATGCATCTGTCCATACCAAATTTCTGTCAAAGATTTCTCAGCAACTACTTTAGGCAGTTGCTTGAAATTTTAGCACACTCTTTGTTTAAGCATGTCATATGAGTGGGATTCATGGGAGCGTATATTCACATCAGAGCGGGGGTATTACTAGTGAGCATTGGCTCACAGACTTTGTTTATGATTTACAGTATTCATTAAAAAAAAATGTAAAAATAATTTTTTTTTTATTTTTTAGAACATTACAGATGCCATGAAGACAATCTGTGAGATATTAACAGCAGACCCTGAGGGTGGCCCCTCTAGAATTCCCTTCCCGTTATTTAAGGATCTTTACACCTACCTAGCTCAGATTGATGGAGAAATCACACAACAACAAATTAATGAAGTCTGTAATTACCTTAAATATCATGTGTAAGTATTATTTATGTATCGTACATTTCGGGTATATATTCCATGAATTAAAATCTAGATTTTGTATCATAGTGACACATCTCGGGGCTTAATATCCATTGCATGCAGGTCCAGTAAAATTACCCAATCCAAAAAGAAATTTCCAAAATTATTGTAAAAATTCCTAAATGACAAACAGATTGAATTTTTCAGTGCTTTTTAGGTCACCTGAGTCACTCAGGTGACCTATTGCTATCTGTTTTTGTCCGTCGTCGTCCGTCGTGCGTTAACATTTAAACATTTTCAGCTTCTTCTCTGAAACCACTCAACCAATTTCAACCAATTTTGGCAGATAGCATCTACGGGTGAAGGGGGACAAAAATTTTGAATTTCATGGACCCTGCCCCCCTGGGGCCTGAGGGGTGAGGCTAAAACCACCAAAATTGATGCAATCTTTAAAAATCTTCTTCTTTACTCCTGGACATCAAGCAGTCAAACTGTTGGCATGATTGTAATAAGCATTGAGCCCTCTACCAAAATTGTGAAATTCATGGCCCCAGGGTCAGGAGTTCTGGTGCTAGGGCGGGGCAATATAT